GTGATATTTTGGCTTCTACTTCGCAAAAGCTAAGTTTACGCATGGCTTACTTACTCACAAGTAACCATTATGTTTTTTCTGACTGTACGACCTTCTACACCTTCTTATTTAGTAAAATTTTGTTTGCACTAAAACCAAAACCATTTCCTGAGATCCACACTGAGTGAGCAATTTACCTACCCCTTCTCTCTCCCTTTGCCCACCCTTTTTCCTTCCTTCCTCACAACTTCAGAAGAAGACTCATATACTGTATTTCAATTAGCGTTTCTATTTTTAACCTATAAAGAATTCGACTCTTATTTATTGGCATCTCTTTATTTCTTTTGTGCTATTCATTCAGAATCACTCGATTTTCTTCAACTAGTCAGTCTGAGCTAGATGAATAAAAGTTAGAAGAAGAAAACAAAGCTTTTGAACCGTCAAAGGTTTCTTTTTGGGTTACCTTGCTGCATGATGCGGATCGATGTCAAGTTTTCCCTTTCAATCTTTGCGTGAAGCATCTTTCTCATGATTCAGAACGAATGGTTTCAGTTCTGGGTGAAGTGTGTCTGATCATGCTAAGTCTGCAAAGTACAACATCATCATTTCAGATTCGTTCATCTATTGTTTGCTAGTGAATGAAAAAAGAAGTATGCAGCGAAAGGAATCTATTCATCAATGTAGTGCTGTTTTGTGTGTCATGCAGAAAATATTAGTTGTCCCACAAGTCCTTTCATATTCGAAGCTTTGAAATGATATTCCTCAAGAAGCAGGACACTTACAAGTTCGCAGTGTGGCAGTGTTTCTGAGTAAAAAAGCTTTGCAATTACATATTTGCGAGGAACACAGAATTGTTGCAGGCAGAGTTCAATCTAGTGCATTATTTTTTCTTGATTCCTGTCCATCAGAAAAAGACAGTAAATGTATATAAAAATATTTGATGGAAGAGTATATACGTGAGCTAGCGAGAAAGTCGCGAAATTTTTGAAGTAAGATAATTGTTTTCGTTTTTTTAAGAATTTGGAACTTTTTATTTTGGCTTAAAACTTGATGCTGCTCAAGCTTGGCACCAGCTTTTGAGAGCCATCTTTTAGAGATTGCTTTGATCTGTGAATGGTACCCCGCATCCTTCTAGGGATACAAGAAGAACTGGCTTATGTCGATGAAAATTCAGATGTAAAAGACTTACGGATAACTTAGTATCTCAGAGCCCATATGAGTCTTTGTAGATGTTATACTTGAATGCCTTCCGCAAGACCTTCCGCAAGACCTTTCCTAAGATCCAATCATCGATGCCCTTAATTCTTTCGTATAAGCGTGACACTTACATTTCATAAAGTTCCCTATGAACCCATGTTTTCCAGCATAAATTATCAGAAATCTAACCAACTGCTCGGCTATCTGTTCCCACTCCAATCAGAGGATCCGCTAGCGGACTGGCTGTGGCAAGA